TTCTCACAGTAGTTTTTTCTGATATTTATGTGGAACCTCCTATGTTCCAGTTTGCACCCATTGCTCCTTGTCCTATCTCTGGACATCACTGAAAAAAGCCTGGTTCCATCATCCTGACTCTTCTTTTCTTCCCCTTCTTTTTAGGAGGGAGGGTGAAGACCAATGGAAGTAAGATATTATGATGTCAGTAACTGGGAGACTGAGATCCATAAAGAGAAGCTACTGCTAAAGGTATAAACCATATCAGCTATTTTTCATTCACTGATTCCACTCGACATTACACACTTTTGGATTTAATAACATTTTTATTTGTATCTGCATGATCTGGTTATCATTGAAATGTTAATAGGTGAGGACATTAGACAGAAAAGTATGTTCCTGTCATACACGTAATTTATGACAGTTTATAGCATCTAGATAAATGGTGCTAATAGTTGCAGCTAGAATTCACACAAACATGCCTGAAAGTTACTGATGATCCTAATACTGAACAAACTGACTTTTCATAAAGTTTGCAATGGAAAGTAGCAAGGCAACAAGAAGACCATTACGCATTATTTCAGTAAGTGATTAGGTCCATGAAGACCTACCTAACAATTGCTATCGTGGATTAGGCGACACTTGAGAACCTTGAGATAGTTGTCAATTTTGTGAGAATCTCGGCGGAGACAGTGCAGCAGGTTGTAAAAGGCAAAGAGTCTGGAGTCCTCATCAGCAAGTTGCAGGGATGGAAGGCCTTCCCACTGAGAGTAAATTTCATTTCCAGTCTCACCAGTATGAACCTAAATACACAAAATGATACTGTAATAAATCATAGTGAATCTGACTGGATGTAGAACAGAGGATTTTAAATACTGGCCTTAAGGAATGCTAGTTGCTGATATATGGCTTGTAAAGTGTTTCCTGTTATGGTTCCCACTATTCTGTATGTTCAGTATCTTCCCTTCACCTTGAAATCTTTGTTAGGACTTGTTCCTAGAACTTCTCTCTGTGTGTCTCCAGCTTTGTCTCAGCCCACATCTGAGGTGATCTCTGATACAGGCAGCTTTCAGTAACAGGTTGCTAGATAAGTCTCTCTATGATACATCTTAAGTACTGTGCCTCAGATTCCTTTATAAAAAAAAAAATTAGTCATTCCTAATATTAGAAAGCTATGTGTAGGAGCTCATGTAGTGAGTTAGTATATGAGGTGAAGATTGGTTCAAGTCTCCTTGTTTGAAAAAGACAACCAATAATTTTCTCTTATGACAGAAGTGTACCTTTGATAGCAGGAAGGAATTCTGTGCCTATTGGTGCCTGTTCATCTTCCTTATTTCCCATCAGTTATACTTCGTAAAAGCACATGGGAGAGTTTCTGTGGAGCCTCTATCACTCAGTGATAGCAACAGGCAAATAAAGATAGGCCTACTATCACTCAAAACCATGGTTTGACACTAATGAACTTGCCAGTCTTGAATTCTGAGTAGAGAGCCATAACTGAATAAGAGACCAGGAGGGATCGAGTGGAAAATGGTGGATACAGTGGTGGTGACAATTTAATGTTCTTCATCTCTTCAGAGCCTAAGTAAAAGCCAGTAAAGTCAGAACCTCTTGTTAGCATCTAATTCACTGACAGAATTATATATTCATAGACTAAGCCAGGCCCCTCTGATAATAAACAAGTTAGAGCTGATTTTATTCAGGAAATCTTTCAATTGATTACTGATAACAAGGGGTATTCGAGTGTGGATTTTATCAGACAACAGCCTTGTTGTCTAATCTTACAAGTGCATTTGGAATGAAGTCAGAGCCAGAGTTCAGAGGAGCCAGTAAGGTGTGAAAAAGAAATGAAAAATACTGCCACTACTTTCCTATATGCCACGTCTTTGTAATAGCCCAGACTTCCAGAACACTTTCAAACACAGTATCTGTTTCTGAAAAGTATACACAATACCTATGTGTCGAGATCTGTATAAATATGCTAATCAGACATATAAATATGAGCATGTGAAAAAACTCAGAAACAACCTTAAAAAACCTTAAAAAGTCAGTATTACATTCAAAATGCTCAATGACCTTTCCTTGAAGCAGAGCCAGAGTTCAGAGGAGCCAGTAAAGTGTGAAAAAGAAATGAAAGATACTGCCACTACTGGAAAGCTGAAAAGCTCTCAGATCCAGCAATTTTAGCTCCCTTATTTTTTTTTCCCTTCACATCTACTATTTCCTTTCTTACTCCAGGTAGGGAAGGCCTGTCAGTTACTCTGTGTGTCTTCCTTACAGCAACAGGATGGATGTTAAGTACCTAACACTTACCCGCCCAACTATTTTCTCCAGCCCTTCTAGAAGCCTCTTGTTTTGTTCTTCAATCTCTACAGTCTTCCAGAGGATGGTTTCTGGAGCTTCTTTGATACTTTGTACTTCAGAGGCCAGATGGATCAGGGGATCATTCCAGGAGCGCAGCATTGCCACTACTATATTCAGCAGGTCTTCGTGCTGCTCACCCACATTAAGAAAAGGCAATTAAAATAGGAAGACTAAATACTGGCAGCATCAGGAGGCACTTACAGCAATATCCTCATAATAATTTGGGAACTGATTCTGGAACTTGCCACTGAATGTGCCCTGTAGCCCTGTCTCAAGATGCCTTTGTGCAGTTGCATTTATCAAGTTTGTCATTGTTGTTACCATGTTTTACAACATTAACACAAGCTGTTACCAAATTGTAATGGAAACTATCATTAAACCCTCTCTGTATTAAAAACTAGCAAGGACAGCTCTGTTGTATTTCTGTGAAAACAAGCAGAACTCCTTATCTGATGTTATTATTGAAAAATGTGAAATCAAATTTGTTTTTAGAAAAAGTTTAGTAGTGAATGGAAGGTGTACATGGCCTCTAAGTAACTCATCTGTCCTGCCCTTTGAACAATGATGCTTCCAGGAATAGATCTCTCATTTTAAAAACTGTTCTTACTTAGGAGCAATAAAAATGCATTAAGGTTATGGTTGTGGCAGTATTCAACCATTTCTTCTTTGCTAGATGCACTGCATCTGAACAGAACCAGACTTGCTTATGTACCCAGGGCTGTGACCCTATGCACTGCCTATTGCAGCCAATAGGATTTCTGAATCACATACAGAGAAGATGGTGATACTGGGATTGCAAGGATATCACCACCATGAAACTGATAAAGAGCTCTTCCTGGCCCCCAGCCCTCCATATGCCTGTGCTTATTTTTTTCTCCAGAGTATTTTCAAGTTGTAACTGTGAGCATAGGCTGGACAAGACTATCTTCATCTTAAGTTTTCAATTATTAGATTGACGTATGTAACGTTTCTCTCTAGAAGTGCTTCGCAATATTTCACACTAGAGTCTTTGTATTTAGATGATGATGTGACCACTTTTTCCTACTTTTAACAGCAAGAATATCTATTTAACATTTGTTTAGTAATCTCAGTGTTTTCAGTTACTGGAAAACTATTGACCCCTGCCTATCTACAGTATTGACTATGCCAATGTGTTGTTATGTTTGTTAATATAATAATCATCTATAAAGTGTTTTAAGATAATATTAAAAAATTGCGGTGTTGCCAGTAATGTACAAGCATGGTAACTGACATTACTCCATGAGGTTATATTCTAGTTGGAAGTAAGATGCAATGGCTAAATATAACATACAGGAAAATGCAAGGAAGCTGAGAGTTGCTGGTACCTATATATTCTGTATATTCTGTACCTTAGTCTCAGCAAATGTTAAATCAACTGTTCTTTGTTCTTTGGCTTTTTGGTGCTTTCCTCTTCCTGGCTTTTTTATTCCAATTGAGCTGATTTCTTTCTTTCTCTGTTCCTCTTTAACCCTCCCTCTTCTCCTGCTCTGTCTCTCACTGGACAACGTTAGAAATGGGACTTACATGAATCTGCTGAGCTTGTTCCTTATCTTCAGGAGTGGTTAAGGAGGAAGTGTGGCAGCCATTTACAGCTTTTGTAATAAACCCCCGGCCCTGAGCGTAGCGTTCATCCTGCAGAAGGTAAAAAATTTCTGGTGAGTGGATCTGGCACCCAGCGAACACAAACTTATTCCAGAGATAAAGAGTGATGGAAAATGGTATATTTGAATAGAACTGTTGGGGATCTTAGCAATGGTCAGCACTATACACAGATTTGGTCATCACTGGGGCTGTCACTCTCTTTGCAGCAGTCATATTTGTTTACTTACTGAAGGATTACTTACTGAATGTATTACCATATGTTTGTACTTTAAAAGCATTAAATTGCATTTTTTTACAATTTCTCACTCTCAGGAAAAGGCAGTGTACTTACAAATTCATTGAATATTTCCGAAGACAGGAAGTGGATGTAGTGTGAAAGTTTAACTGCTCGGTCAAAAAGTTCCCCAAGGGAAACTTGGCAATTGACAGATCCATTGGGGCAGATTGGCAAGGAGGTCACTCCTTCTTTTGTCAGGAGTATGTTGGACACCAGAAGGACCACCACCAACAAACCTGATCAGGTTTAAAACAAACCAGAATGAAATCACATTGACTTGCATGTACATTTAGAAGTAGCTGTCAGAGCCAGATGCTGAGTGATTTTTGTTTGTACTGTCACATGGCTCAGAGTACCCCCTGTACTGGCTGCTGAAAATCAGTGGAGGAAGGAAACACTGTAAGTCTGTTACCCTTTCTACCCTCCATCATCCTAACTTTATAGCAGAGCCTGCTACAGAGTTGGAGGAGAGAAGGTAACCTGTGTTGCAGTGCATACTGTATTTCAAGTCTCTTACTGTTGTGCCTGACTTTACTACATAGTGATAAATGGAAGAAAAAAATCAAACCTCTTCACAATGTAAATATAGATACATAATTATGTTTGCACAGATATATAAGTCTGAAGAATAGACTGGTCTTTTTTTTAAAATTCTTTCCCCCCCTCCCCCCTCGTCCTCCCACAGGTCCTTTTCTTCTTTGCAAACATTTGGAGTTTAAATTAATTCTGTGAGAGGGTGGTTAGGTCACTATCTTAAGGTTTTGATTGTCCTGGGAGTTCCATCAGAAGGTTTCCAGCAGCTGTGCTGCTTTGTTATTTAGAGTTTAACCCTGAATTGCCTACTGCAAAGAAATCAGAGAGAACCTTGGTCTTTCCTGTTGAGCTTGTCAAACTGATATAGGGCACTTCTCATTATCTTAAACACAAGACCTCATTTGTTTAAAACTTAATATCAATTTAACAAAATCAAGTTTTCTATTCAGTGAAATAAAATATGCACATAAAAACAATGGAAAAAAATAAAAGCAAATATTTGGTAAATGAACTTACTTATTAAAAGCACACCGTTATGTACTCGGAGACTTTTCATTCTGGAAATTTGCCTGCTACCTGTATTGGTTCACTAGACTAATTTTAAATGCTAAATTTAAGTACACTCCATAATCAGCAGAGCTGTCCCTAATGTTGTCATGTGATGAATTTCTTTCTATCTCTAAATTAAAGAGCATTTAAACAATTTTGACACAAGACTTCCTCCACTCCCCATGAACCAGGAACATGCTACATGCTGAAGTTAGGATTGTCCTCTGAAGAATAATTGAATTAATAGGAAAACCTGAGACTGCTTGGCTTAGGAAGTTGAAGATAGTTATGAAAAGATTAAATTGAAATTTACTACATCACTTCTAGACTTGTGGATAATTAATTTTAGTCATGGCCTTCTGAGAGGTATAGCAAAGCAGTCTGGATCCAGTCTTTCATGTGCAGGTGTCACATCCCTCAAGCCTATTTTCAGTGACACTGTTCAATGCAAAGGTAGTCTTAGTAGACAAAAGACTGGGTAGAAAAGGGATCAAACTGCCTTCTAATTCCAAGTTTTGGGCCCTACACATTTGAGGTGGATGCAGACTAGGTGGCTGGAAGACTTCACTTTCCAGAGCTCTAACATTTTCATTACATCCTAATTCAATCTAAATTTAAAGAAACATAAAAGTTATCAGTAAGTGAAAGGCAGAAGTCTTACCTTTCAGGGAACTCCCCTTGTTGCTCATGGTAGTCATCCTGTATGATGACTTGTTCTACCAGAAAGAACTCTCAATACTTGCTCTTATTCTCTGCACATGCTGCTTTTATATACTCAATCTAGAGTCCATTTTGCATATATTCAGCGGGTTGTGGAGTTTACCTCGATAATTACAAACATCAAATTGCCTTTCTTCCACATTCATATTCAGGGTTTGGTTTTTTTTTAACTGTGAGGAGGAATTCCATTAAGTTCAGCTGTGGGACCTTAACATTTTGCCCTGAGTGCAAAAGCCATTGATCCTAGAAGGCTCCAGTTGTCAGTTCTGAGACAGGTATCCTCAATGTTTCTAGCCTTCTGTTCCCCCTCGCCCCCAACTGTCTTCGCATCCTTCCTTGTTTCTTCATCTATCTAAGCTTGCTTATGTTAGAATTCTACTTACAGGAGGCAAACAATGCTTTACAGTGTCCACAGTGAGACAAAGAAAATAAAATGTATGGAAATGTATCCAGAGAAAGGGAATGGAGGCTCCTGGATAGACAGGTAACTACCTGTAAAATTATAGATATGACATTCTGTGTATATAACTCCGTTTAAAAAATGTATTACACAGCACAAATCATGGTAGAACTGATCCTTGGTCTGAGAGATGTTTAGAGAAATGAGGCAGTTCTTATATTCAAAAAGTAATAGTTTTCAACAATTGAAGAGGAAGAAGTTACATGTTTACTGTCTAATCACAACTGTTGAATGACTAACTCAGCATTATTTAAAAAAAAAGAAGCCTGTCTACAAAAACATGAGATTGTTTTCTGTACTTGAAAACTCTCTGCGTAAAAGCTGTGCACCATATGCAAAACATGTGCTGTCGTAATCAGTGGGATTAGTTTCCATACCTGATTTGTCTGTGGTGTTCTACAAACTAGCCTCAACAGGCTGGCCCTGTTTTCTTGTTGTGTTAGCAAATGTGTCATCTCTCATCTGTTTTTCAAGTCCATCTACCCATGAAAAGACTTTCCAAATGAGATTAAAATAATGAATAAGGTACACGATGCTAATCAATTTTCTTGCCCTTAGACAACATGTTCTGTACTTGGGGAACAGGTATGTGTGTGACCCTAAATCCTTCAATATTTCATGACTGTGGATGTGATTCCTGAAGCAATGATAAATAAGGGAAAAGAAAGGTAGAGCACATAGGGCGGTAAACCATGGAAGGCATTCCTTGGGAAGCAATAAAAGGAAGTGGTTCAGCAATAAACCGGAACCAGTAGCAAGTGGTCTACACCTGCTAAGTTCTAGATGATTGCTAGAACAGTTTGCTCTGCTCAGAGGTGGGATCTTAGTTGGAAATTGCGACCCTGCTGAGTAAATGAAGCAGTTGTTGCCTGCAGCAGGGAAAAGTGGCAATCTGATGAAGGCAGTAAAGCCAGAATAGGGCCACAGCCAAAATTCTAGAATGCATGGTAGAAAATCAGCTGTTTTCTAAACCACAGTCACATGGCTTAGGACCTTGATCTGATTCAGCTTCATTTGAAAATCTTCCCCAATAAGATTACAGGTGAACTTGAAAAATCCTGCTATCTTATAACATTAGAAGAACCTTGTGAATAAAAGGAATGAACACTTCTCAACCACCATTTACTCTTTCATTTTCAGTCTTCTTTTCTTGGAATTTTGAAGGGTTGGTAGTGATGCCAAAAATAACTCACACAGTTAATTAATATTAGGGACTAGATAACAGAGGAGAATGTTCACAAAGGCAGCAGGTAAACTCCCTAGGCTCCCTTACCATTATTTGAGAGGAAAGCTCCTCTCAGTTCGGACAGCATCAGCTGAAGTCAGGATCCTCATATGACTTGCCTTCAAGAAGAGCCTGTCCCTTGCTGTATAAGGGTAGACAAGCACCTTAAACATTGATCATAGGAGAGAATGGTTATTTAAGACCATTGCATGATGATGTATTCAAAGCACTCTATCACAAAATATTATACTTTGCTTTTCTCTTGTACCTTTCATCCTGAAATCCTCAAATACTTTACAAACATGAATGAATTAAAATTGTCAGCAATTGAGAATCATAGGCAGGCAACAAGAAACTCTTTGTAAAGTAGATAAATATAAAGGTAAAGTTCTCCTGTTGAATGTGAGAACTGATGTAGAGATTAGGAAGTTTATTTGTCGCTGCACAGGAAGTCTTTGGGGAAAAAAACAAACAAACAAAAAACCAAAACCCAAACAAACAAACAAAAATTGCTGATTCCCAGACTTGTACCTTAAGAGAAGACAATAATTTCTTTGAATCATAGAATCATAGAGGAGTTTTGGTTGGAAAAGACCTCTGAGAGCTTTGAGTTCAACCGTTAACCTGACTACTGAGTATGATGCTATTTCTTAGTAGTACCAAAAAACCCCACAAAGGTGAGAGAAAAGAGATGAAAAATTTTAATAACCAGAAATAGATAGGTCCAAGTATTAATTTCCTTTTATAAATTAGAAATTGGACTATATTTAAAGATTGAAAAAAAATTGAAAGTAGCTAAAATGCTCCCCTCTGTCTTTTGAAAGTGGTCCTGGATCTATATCTTCCAAAGAAGATATATATATACACTATATATATACTATGGAACTTGGCATCCCATCTTTTCTGCCTGTTTCCTGAACCTTGGTAAAATAAGCTATTCCTAGCCCCCAGGAGCCTCCAAATTCTGTCAGTAGCTCTGGACAGCACTGTAAATATCTGGACAGTCATCAGTATTGAGGGGAAGGCTCCTGAAACAACTCGAAGAACTACAAAGCACAGCTGTGGCTAGCACTGACTTTCCATCTTCCTTTGTCTTTCATTGTTGCCTTAGGAATTTAACGAAAGTAGTATATATATTTTTTTAATTACCACATTCCTTTTGTCTTCAGGAGCTTTTCTGGAAGTAAAATTAATAGATTATTACAGACCACTGTAAAGAGTATGCCAAAAGAAGGTCTTATTATATGCAGGCTTTATTGTATAGCTTTTAGCTCATTGCTCATCCTTCATAGGAATTGCACGTGATGTATCAATAAACAGATAACAGCATTTAATGCTCATTTCTCAATAATCTTATCTTTCCACCTCATATCAGGTTGAAAACCATGAGTTAGACAATTGTCACAGTTTGATTAACAACTATTGATCAGTACTGGAAGATCAAATATTCCTATTCAATTTAATTTTATTTAAAATATTTGAGTTACATGAAGTGTGGTGTCTGATTGATAGCTACCACAGAGGAACAAAAAAAAATTTTTTAATAGAATAGTTCTTTGCAGTATACTTATTTTAACTAGGTGGAATGAAGACTGTGTAATATTCCTTGATTTTGTCTTTTACTTGTCCGGAAGTATCTGTATTTGAGACCCCACCTGGAATACTGTGTACAGCTCTGATGCCCTCAGCACAGGAAAGATATAGACCTGTTGAAAAGGGTCCAGAGAAGGGCCACCAAGATGATCAAAGGCTTGGAGCACCTCTGCTATGAGGACAGGCTGAGGGAGCTGAGGCTGTTCTAGAGAAGAGAAGGCTCAGGGGAGACCTTGTAGTGGCCTTCCAGTACCTGAAGGGCCTACAGGAAAGCTGGGGAGGGGCTTTTCATCAGAGAAGATAGTGATAGGACAAGGGGTAATGGTTTTAAACTGAGAGAGGGGAGATTGAGGTTAGATATTAGGAAGAAATTCTTCACTATAAGGGTGGTGAGGAACTGGAATGTGTTGCCTGAGGAGATTGCTGATGCCCCATCCCTGGAGGTTTTTAAGGCCAGATTGGATGAGGTTTTGTGCAACCTGTTCTAGTGGTGGCGTTCTCTGCTCATGGTATGGGCTTGGAACTTGGTGATCTTTAAGGTCACTTCCAACCTTAATGGTTCTATGATTCTGTGATTCTATTTGATAACAACAGTAGCTAATGCAGAAGTTTAAAATGCCCAGTTTTTTGCTGTGTTTATAAAAGGTGAACCCCAAGTTATATATGCAGATTATATGCATGATTGATGAGGATTCAAAACTGAATGTGCAGAGAAGTATTCCTATGTGTGATCTGATTGTCTGACTCTTCCAATACTGAATACTTCCAATAATGAAACAAAATACTTGATGTGTTCCTGTTTTGCATATGTAAATTGGAGTCCTAATACTGAAAATATGGTTACTCTTTTCTTCCTTTTATAGAATATTTTACAAATAGTTTACAATAGTTTTACAGTCAAATTCATTTAATGGTTGGCTTTGGAAAGATACAAAACTGTTTAATCTGGATCAGCAACAAATCCTCAGAGCACTTTAACTTAAACATCTGGAAAATACATTCTGAGAAGGAACATAAACATGGTATTTTTTCATTCTAGGTAGTTTCAAATGACAAATATTTTCTTTTTCAATTGCTCCCCATAATCTCCATGAAACTTTTGTGCAAAATTCAAGTGATTTTCTAGGATTCTGTAAAACAGGGGCTCTTCCTCTCCATCTTTTTCATGTAGAGAACAGGAGAATTTAAAAAGCATTCTTCCCAAATGTTTGTCTCAGTAAAAACAGAACATGGGGCTTGAGTACTTTTTTTAGTGTGATATCTGCTTGAAGGCTGGTAAAAAACAGGTAAGAACATAAGGGAAAATTATTCCATATTGAGGGGGGGGGAAAAAAATAAAATCTTTGGGAGATTTTCAGTTTACTATAAGCACCAGTGTGATTTCGTGCAGTTTAAGAAGTAGATACAAAAATGAAATGGCAGAATATGTTTCAAAGACAATTTACCAACATTGCCACTATGATGACACCTGCTCAAGTGCACCATGAAATATTATGTGTGAATTTGAAGTAGAATTCCAACTAACAACTGCAAAAAAATGTAGGGAATTTGCAAAGAATGGAGTAAAAGCTAGCTAGTATACATTGGTCCTGATACTTGAAGTTGTTTGAAGCCTGTGGCTCTGTGTTCACTCGTTGCTGTAGCTGTGTATTATCAAATAACCTGGCAGTATAAATTTGATCTGGATCACACATAACTGCATTATGGCACTTCAGCTGAATTATCGAGAGACCACATTATGGTACTTATCTTGGCTTAGTACTTGGTACCAGATTTATCTGACTGGTGGAGGTCGGATGATAATGATCTGACATCTGCTAGGACAAAGGCGTCCTACAAAACTTTTTCTATAAATATGAAGTGGAAGAGTGAGCCTGTGCTGGTTCAGCATTTCATGTCAAGTGACTGCAATATTACTTATCCTATAGCT